GAATGGGATGATAATTTTGTTCGTACTCAGATCAGATATTCTCTGTTCAAGCGCAAAAAGATACGAGTGCTCAGAAACGTCTCAGAATCTAAGCGAGACGCAATAGTCTCTACCTGTCAGGTAAAGCCCCACGGGCACCTCCGATGTCTCTATGACCGGCACTGTAAAAAATAAGGAATCTGCACTCTCTCTCTCTCTCTCTCTCTCTCTCTCTCTCTCTCTCTCTCTCCTCCCCCGCTGCTGACTCCTCTCTCTCCTTCCTCTCTCCTCCTCCTCCTCCTCCTTCTCCCTCCCTCCCTCCCTCCCCTTCTTCCTCCTCTCTTCTCCCCCCCTCCCTGACTCAACATCGTCGGGTTTGCTCCGTCTCCTGCTCCGTCTCCTGCTCCGCAGCCTGCTCCGTCTCTTCGTTGTAACCGGTGGGGATGAGGGCCGCATGACCCACCCCATGTCCTTAGTGTAATCGATGGGTACAAGAGTAGGTGGGTACATGCCTTCTGTCGGAGATATGCTGCATGGACGGAGGGGAAGTGGATGGAACGAGGAGAGGAGAAGAGACTTGGCGATGCTGGAAGAGAGAAGGCGAGAGGGGGAAAGGCGAGGAGGATAACCGATTGGAACGAAGAAACGAGCGGGAGGGGACAAAGGCAGAGAATGAATTTTAGGTAAATCATCGAAATGGTAGAAAGATATGAAGCAGAGCAAGGGGAGGACAGTCAATGTGGAAAAAACAAAAGAGATTCATTTGTTGAGTATTTGAGAGTAGCATACGAGATAGATCGAAGAAGAGGGTAGAGAGGAGGAAGAGAGTCTGGCTGACCGAGGTGTTTACAGGTCATCTTTGGATGTACAGGTGACCAGCTCAAAGAGTTTGCCTATTGCGGCATGTCGGGGTTAGAAGAGGAGCATGACATGAAGCAAGTGTCTGATGACACTCGGATCATGCGGGGTGCGTCGCTGTTCGACGAGTTGGCCTTGCAGATGAAGGAAGGGGAAGACGAAAGTGGGGAAGATCAGCGATCAGGCCAGAGGTTTGAGCGAGGCCCCTCGCTATTTGAAGACCTCCGGAAGATGCTGAACAAAGAAAGTGAGGTTGAGGAGGACGAGGCGAGCAAGGCGGCAGACCTCACCCTCGAAGGCGATCGAAGGAGAGAAGCAGCTGTATTCTCCGGCATCGAACTTGGGAGCTACTTTGAACACGAAGAGCTGGGCGGCTCGAGCATGAGAAAGAAGAAGTCAGCAAGAGACAATGAGCGTGAGGAAGAAGAGATCGAGAGCGTGATTCGCACTCGCGCCTCAGTGTCAAAGCTTGCCTACTCCACCAATAGCTCGCTCCTCGTGTGGACAGGTGGCTTGTGGTTTAGCTCGCTGGTTTCGCTGACTTGAGCTCAGGGACTTGGAATGTGGCGAATGTCAGCCCTCCGGCATCTGTTGTGTCCTGGTTGAGAAGCAGCTCTGAGAGCAGCAGGCGAGGCGAGGAGGATGGCAGCTGGGTGTTGGTGCAAGGAGAGGAGAAGAGCTCGAGCAACAAGGAGGAGGAGAGTGTGTCGCCTGACTTGTACGTGATCGCTCTGCAGGAGATAGACAACTCAGTTGGGGCGACTTTGATGTTGGAGAGCAAGCGAGGACCGCAATGGGAGGCTGTTCTTCGCCGCAGCCTCGCACAGCTGTATCCCTCGGAGGGGGGCAGCAGCAAGTATGTTCCTGTTTGCCATCGCCAGCTGGGAGGCGTGTTGCTCTCCATCTTCGCGCAGAGAAACGTGGCAGAAGAGATGCGAGAGCTGAGCTTCGCCTGCGTCTCCGTCGGAGTCCTCGGAGTGATGGGAAACAAGGGGGCGATCGGGGCTCGCTTCCGCCTCAAGGACGAAACCTTCTGCTTCATCGGGGCTCACCTGGCAGCGGGGGAGAGCCCAGCAGGGTACGAGAGGAGGTGCCAAGACATCAGCGAGATCAACCACAAGATGCGGTTCAGCCAGTGCTTCCTCAAGGGCGTGGACCGCAAGAACACCGCCATCCGTCAGTTCGCTCCTCCTCTCAGCATCCTGCAGCATGATAAGATCGTCTGGATGGGTGACCTGAACTTCCGCCTCAGAATCCCCAAGGCCGCGGGCCGCGTGATGGTGGCGAAGGCGAAGGAGGAGAGGGAGGAGCTGAAGAGACTTTGGCGATCGGACGAGCTTTACAGGGCCATGGCAGCTGGCGCAGGTGGTGTCGTGAGGAAGTTGAAGGGGAAGCTAACTAGCCTTTCGTAGTGTTGCGAGGCTTCGACGAGGGAGCGTTAAGTTTCCTCCCCACCTACAAGTACGACATCGACTCCGACGAATTTGACTCGTCCAACAAGGCCAGGACTCCCGCCTGGACTGATCGCATCCTATGGAAGGGCTCGAGGTACTTGCTCCCCTTGAACTACCCCTGCCATTCCCCAGTTTCTTGCTACTTCCCCTCGCCTCTCTTGCATCGGGTCTTAAAACCTTGCAGGGTGACGCTCCTCTCCTACACTTCCTCGCAAGCGATTCGACTGTCGGACCACAGGCCGGTCTCAGCGCTGATCTCCTTTGGCCTCGAGGAGGCAGAGAGCGGGCATTCGTCGGTCAGCTCGTACAAGCTGAGGGAGGTGCTGGTGAACGAGCTCGTGCACTGGGGGGAGGACTCTTTACACGCCGTAAGCGGTGCGGTTCGCTCCAGCGCTGACTTCTCGGCCGAAGCCGTCGGGACTCTCTTCTCAAGCGTCGGCTTGTCTACGCTGGGAGGCGCTCTGGGACTGGCTGGGGTGACTTCCGAGGCACACGGGGAGGGGGCGAGGGCTATCCAGCTTCCCAAGTTCCCCGAGGCTGTGGTGACCGTCGAGAACTACCGCGAGCTCGCAAGCAGCCGGCTAGACGCGGTCCTGGACGCCGAGCAGCTGCCATGGGTGGAGCTGACTCGAAGGCATGAGGTCAAGATCGAGACTCTGGCGGGAGTGGCGGAAGACAAGGTGCTCTTGCGAGGAACGACCCGAGTGGTTGGGGATTTGCAGAGCGTTCAGGAGGTGCTGTGGGACACGTCGCGACGGGTGGAGTGGGACAGGACGATGGTGGAGGGGAGCACGCTCTTCAAATACGATGACCATCACGTGGTGCTGCGGTTGGCGAGGTCTGTTTCCAGCGCAGGCGCAGAGAGGGAGGCTCGCTCCCTCGTGCCGGAGGTTGACTTGAGTGCGCTCATGAGCAGACATGCGCTCCCTCCTCTGCCTGGCAGAGATGCCGGCGGAGAGCGCGAGGTCGTCCTCCTCCTCCAGTCCATCCGTCACAGGCTGGTGCCAGAGAGCTCGCGCTACTTGCGGGCCGACGTTGACTGGGAGGCGTACGTGCTGAGCGAGCAGGAAGGAGCAGAGACACAAGTGACACAAGTGACGATATACCTCAACATGTTTCTCAACGGCATTCGCGGTCAGGGGCTGCAGGTCCTGGGGGTAGAGCTCGCCTCCTCCCTCTCTAACCTGCAGCTCTGCCTGCGAGAGTGAAGGGCCCAGCTGTGTGAGACGCTTGCAATGAAGCCCAGCTGTGTGAGACGCTTGCAATGAAGCCCAGCTGTGTGAGACGAGTAAGCTGAGACGTTCAGACTTCTTCATGTCAATCTCAGCTCGAGCAAGCTCATGCCTGGTCGAGTCACGAACCCGCCTCAGGGGAATAAAAGAGGAGAAAAAAAGGCAGCGCCGTCAGCAGCTAGAGAGTCTTAGCAAACCCGCCCCAGAGCTCGTTATAAAACAATTGTTGTGGGGCGCATTGATTCAAGATCTTTACAGGAGGTTGGGGGTGGGGTCATATGGTAGTATGGGGTCTATCCCGCACTACAGTACTGTAATTTGATCTTTAAAGGGGTAGGGGTACTTGGATGGGGGGTACAGATGTACGAAATGGGTGGGGGACGAAATTGAGGAGTGTGTAAAGGCAAACTCGACGAAAATGCGCGCAAAGGGATAGAGACAGGTAGAGATGAGAAGAGAGAAGAGAGAATGAGACAAGACTGCTGTAGAGCATTGAAACGAACTACGAAAGATATTTCTTCATAAAGGCTCAACTTCCAGACAAAGATTGGGGAAAACAAGGCTCCACGAAGCATTGGAACGGGTGTCTCGTGTACGACAAGCACGAGTTGAAATGAAACCCATGACGAGGAACAGAATTGTATTGATCAGGTGGTTTTGCATCGTAATGATGTTTGCAATGGCATGTGACTGCTATGGATTCCTTAATTTGATTCCAACGAAGAACCTTGTTGCTGTGAACCGTTTTGGTTCTCTGCGCATTCAGCGGAAATGCGATACAAGAACTTCAAACAAGAGAATATCATTGATCACAATGTCTTTCAATCCTCTTCAAGCTTATCTTTCCAGTCTTGAACTTCATCCCCTCCGAACAAAAGTTCTTACCGCCGGCGCTCTGGCCATGATGGGTGATTTTCTTGCTCAGCAAATTTCTGCAAGGAGAATTGTCAAAGCCAAAGAAGTTCTTGAGCGGGAAGGCAAAGAGCGACCTGATAGGCATGGGAAATCCGGTGTCATAGATGTCAGCAAATGGGATCGTAAGCGAACGATGACTTTTGCCTTGTTCGGGTTGTTTACAGTCACGCCTGCCCATGTGATTGACCGGTTGCACAGGTGCTTGTACACAGGCTTCTTTCAGCATAACTGGTTTCGTCTTCTGAGTGAGCTTGGGAACACGCTGCCGTATGGGAGCTCAATATGGGTGGCTGTCACGAAGCTGGCCCTCAACCAGGTGAAACTCTTTCAAGAGTTCCGAACATGCTTGTGACGGACAGCCTTCAGTTCTGCATGATTCCAGCGGTGTACTTTCCGGTCTTCTATCTCGTGCGAGGAAAGATGTTGCGAGGAGATTCGCTCAAGCAGGTCGTTCATTCGGCGAGAAAGGAATACTGGAGAAACCTGCGGCTTAACTGGACCCTGTGGGTCCCGGTGCAGTTCATCATGTTTACGATGATCGACGAGAAGTATCAGGTTGTGAGGCCTGGCAAGCCCAGGAGCTGATGCACCTTTCAGGTTCCCTTCTGCTGCATGGTCGCTCTTCTGTGGAACACGATCTTGTCTTTCGTAAGCATGCACAGAGCTGCAAAGGAGACGATGGCAGAGAAGGTGGAAGGGGAGGAGCTGATGAAACCGATTCTCAACCCCAACCTGTGAGTCTGCAAACATCTGACCAGCTTCTCTTCTGATTTCGCTTTCTAGCGTCTTCCTCAAGCCCTCCCACGTCAGCGAGACCTATAGCCCCAACCCCTTGATCCCCATCAAACCGGCTGCCAAGACTCCCTACCTTTCCCATACTTCGTTTGGCAGCAGACAGCGCGAGAGCGCATAGGTCGCAAGTCCTTGTACTCTCATGGAATGAGTTATGAAAACAAGGCATCTTATTCTTTGTGAACTAGCGCACCCTGACGTGCAAGTTCCACTTGTGTAAACTATTAGTCAAATGCGATTTGTTGCATTTAAACCGTGTAGCCGGATAATTCGTCTTGGAAGGAAATCTTTACATGTTTATTCTATATGCAAGCAATACAAATACAACAAGAACCTGGAGTGAGGTCACATCGAATGGAACCTGGCACGACATTTCACTTCACCATGTTCATGGCTAAAGATGCAGGCAATGACGATGCTGAGCTGCAGGGTGCGCCGTAGACGGGGTAGACCAAACCATCAGGAAAGCTGCAGCAAGCAACCACGTGAGGACAATCTTCATGCAAGAAAGCCTCCCATTACTTCTGCGGACATCCTTGGGGTTGACATCGCGAGGTCGACGCCTTGTAGCAAGGCTTCGTAACGGAGTTGCAGACGCATTGCACCTGCACTAGCATTGAGGAAATGCTGCATGAAGATGGCTCACCTTCTCCATGCAGAACTTGAAGATCTCATAGGGTTTGGCATCGCTGATTTCAAAGTCATGAGGAAGACATGTGAGAGAGATGATGTACCAGTAAGTGGAGAAATAATGTTCGCAGTAGTCACAGCAGGTGTAGACCTTAGACCTCGCATCACAAGGCTTCTCTCTGGAACATCAACTAGGCAATACCTGTCCTGGCTGATTGAAATGTCTGCAGTCATAGTCGTATGAACATTGAGACTTTGGGATGCCCTTGAAGACAAAGTAGGTCAAGTTACGTGGCCCTTGATACAGGAACGTTCCCCATGACTGATTCTTTGCTGGTGTGTTGCTAATGGATGCGTTCTGAATTTCCTGCAGCAACTAATAAGCTCCGACAGCTTGAATCGCTTCTTCACCTGATCTCTTCTCCAAACAAAGTTGCAAGCTCCTTTCTGAATCTGATCATCGTTCAGATTTCCATTCACTTGGACGTTAGGTCCGATCTGACTGCAGGCCTTTGTGATCATGTAGAGGGCCAGCTGCTTGAAAAACGTGCCTCCCTTGACTAGGGTCTTGTCCATGATGGCAGATGTGGAAGACATTACTTCATTTGTCTTGTAATATTCCGCTGAGAATTGATTGTCAGCTTTTGAAGTTGCCGCGCAAACCTTGGCTGTTCCAGAGTAACCCTGACAGAGGCCAATCTCATAGTTGTATGACATTGGGATACAATATCCTTTGAAAATGCCTGTAGCTGTCTCCTCTTTATCATACCCTTTGTACCCAGTGAAAGTACATACTCGCTTCGTTCCGAGCACAAAAAACAGGCAGCACCAAAGCATGGACTTACACAGCATCCCACACACCCAACCAATATTCCCTGCAAAACGATTACTTCAAAACAAGCGTTCAAAGCAACAAGTGAACAAATTTGCTTGGACTTAGCTCTACATGCGAGGTTTCAGTTAAGCAGTAGATTCTTAGATCAATTTGCATGCAAGCATGTTGCTGGTAAAGGCATGCCCTCTCTCTTCTTCGTTCAAACTTGCGCTGCTCGAGCATTCGCTCTGCTTTCTTCTCCTCACTCGACCATCTCGCGCTCTCAGCTCTCATTTGTTCCCTCTGATCATTCCAGCGAAGGGCCGCAGGCTTCCCATGGCCTCACCCACCCCCGGACCTCCTACACCCCCCTACCCCGTGGCAACACCCTCAATCACTACCCCCGGACTGCTGTGCTGGGGCCCGAGTAGGGTGGGGTAGGGTGTGACTTCACAAGTAGAGTTTACTCTCAAATCAGTCGCTCGGTCCTGCTTGCCAGGCATCTACTCCTCCTCCTCCTCCTCCTCCTCCTCCTCCTCCTCCTCCTCCTCCTCCTCCTCCTCCTCCTCCTCCTCCTC